TGTAACTGGAAGGTCCTGGGGATTTGATTTGATTTGCTTCTGAAGCCGTTATTCTCAAAGACTGATGAATACTTCTTAAGTATGGTAGATGCATGTAGAATGTGACATCATTTTTTGTATGTTCTTAAGCCTTAGATGGATATACAGGCTTCACATGCGCAATTACCATTCGTATCTTAGCTACATGAAAAGTCTTTGTGGCCATGGCGTTCAATCTTTGTCTAGTTATCAAGCTGTTAATGATCACCTATATATGATGGATAGCTTGATGTCTGGATCCTTCGTAAAGACTGACGTTTTTACCTTAAGTTGTTGTAAATTTATGTCTTTATTTATTTTCTATAGATTTATCAAGAATGGTTGCCCAAATTAACCGAACTCTCTCGGAAAGCATTCGATGCTGCTAAAGACAGAATGAATAAAGTCAAACCGACAAATACACCTCAATCACTAGTTCGTAATTTTGTACATTCTGACATTCTTTATCCATCGACAACAAGCGGCTGTTACAGCACAACGAGTAAAACAGATTCCCTGCGCGATGATGCTAACTGTTCTATGAGTAGTGATACAATCAATATGCCCTTCCCATCCCCATCATTATCACAGACTGAGCCTATGAAAGAAGATCAACAACATATTCATACTGATCACAAAGATGTTATTGAATCTGTAGATATTGATCCTGAATCAAATATTATTGATCAAGATGTTGACGAAGAAGATGATGATGAGAAAGACTGTGCACTGGCTCCACTGCAAACTCATATGCTCAGTACAAATGTCCAATCAATGCATTATTCATCACGACCAAGGCATAGAGCCATCAATCAAGGCGTTGGACAGAATTTAACCTATCCACAACAAGTCATGCCATTCTTTCATGGAAATCTATTGAATCAAACTGGTCTACAACAATACCAACAACACCACCAACAACAACAGCATCAAGCTACCTGCCTAAATCAGTTACCGTCGACAAGTAATCCAATCGCTGGGGGGTATGCATTTCAAGATTTAGTGGATTTCTCTAATCCACAAGCGTTACCAGCTGCAGCCGCTGCAGCTTCCCTACTACTCTTTCGATCCACTGATGATGACGATGATTTAGCCGCTATTGATCGGGTGAATCAACGTATCGCCTTGGGCCGATTGACTGGTAATTTTTCAGATACTGAATATCCAAACCTGATTGGTGGAACACTTCCACCTCCGCCAACAATACAACTACCGCAACAACAACAGCAAGAGCAAATGCAGTCTCTAAGGTCGTTGCCTATCTCACAGCCGATCCTTCAAACACCTTTATCCAATCCTACAATGATGAATAGGATGAATGTACTGAACAGACGAAACAATCTGCCATATCAACAACAACAGCAGCAGCAACAACAACAACAAGGGCATCTCAATCAACAATCGTCTGGGATCATCCCCCATCATCAACAAACTCTTACAGAGCGTAATGAAGGCACTGGTGAATCTGCTGTTTCACAAACATCACCATCCAATGTGTATAGTAATCTACAGAGTTCTTCGTAAAAGTCAGTCATTACATAATTTTTACTCCATGTGTGTATATTGTTACTCCGACTATTTCGGCATTTATTGTTTTTTCTGAATCAGTCAATAGTGCTTTTTTAGCTTTTCCCTATTTGCCAGTGAACAGTAGTCAAAACACTTCAGTGATGTGATGAATTAACACTGTTAATGGTGTTATCTTGTGTTTTGTTTTTTAACGTTTGATTGGTACTCAGATTTTTGTCTGTCTGCTGTTTTCCTTTTCACTGCTGATTATCGTATCATGTCATTATTATCGTTGCCATTTGCTATTGGTAGTCATCATAATCGTCGCATTATCATCCTCGTCATCACCGTGATCATTATGGCTGTTCGACAAATTGTATTTTCATTGCCTACCTACTTTTTATTGCCTTCTACTGTAATTTCCTTTATTTTCGATTGGAATTACTGAATGTATACTTGTATTATTTTTGACTGCATTTCTGTGTATTTATATTCCGTAGATATATATGTGTGTGAGCATAAAGCTTTTTATCATTGATTTTGTTTGTTTGTTTGTTTTTGGGTTGTTTTTTCTCCAAAGCAAAACAAATAGTGTTTGAATAGTGTTCATTCTACTTGCAATTTTTTCTCTCATCTATTTACTGCCAGCATGTGTTTTGTTTGACTGAATAAAAATAGATTTCGTAATTCAAATGTCGATTTGCAAGGATTTTATTGGTTTCAGGAGATCAGTTTGAGGCTTACTAGTGACTGGTTCTATTCAGGTATGTGTTTACCTTGGTCCTAGTGGGAATTCGTGAGCGGTGGGGTGTAAGGACAAATACTCGCCACCGATGACATTCGCCAGTGGCCGGGCCATCTCATGAATTGTCAGAAGTTGGAATTCGTAGACCACTGTATAGAGCTCGCTAGGCTTGTGACCAGAAGGTTCTGGGTTAGGACGCTGGCAGTGAGGTGGTGCGTACTGATGAAGAGTCCCAAACTAGGACGAGACAGCTGACCGTTCAATACCACCAGCTAGTTTTCCAATGGTCCTGTAACTGATGTCAATTCATGATGAAATCCTGAGATTTTTTCCATTGGGTTCATAGCACTCCAGAAGCTGGTCACTGTTCAACTGGATCCACGATTGTCCACAAGAGTGATTTCCTTGTCAAATGATGCCATTCGACATGTGATCCATGAAACTTGTCGTTTCTTATTCAGCTTCTGCTCTAAAGGCACTCAATGACCGTCTGAAAGTCTTCAGCTGATCTCCGTTTTCTGTTGCCAGTTGGTGTGGTGCAGTGCCAGAGCCTGTGTTTTTTGTTGCTTATCCTTTCTGGCCTCCCATCTTATCTTCAATATCGAGACGGTGATGGTAGCTGTTGATGAGTATTTATAATAAACTGCTCCCCATGACGCGAGCCCCAAGTCCGTGAAGTATATACATATCCATTGACTTGACGTTAATGTTGCATGTTTGGATCTGTGTACTAAGTGCTGCTGATCTACACAGGGATTTCAGAGTACTGAAGATTTGTCCTGCTTTTCTGATCCTGGTTAACTTTGGTGTCCTCGTCTACAGCGATTACCTGTATTTGAAATAGTGTTGCCTAGATAAGTGGAACAGGTAACGGGAGTAATTATGACTCTTTTAAGGTAGCCAAATGCCTCATCATCTATGCTTCCCCTCCCTCCCTCAGTTGAAATACCCTATATGCAGTACGAGATATGAAAATCCGACACCATTGTACATCTCTCCCTCACTACAAGATGTTTTGAATAAAATCTATCGATCATATATTCAATGTAACCTGCCACACACACACACTTTGTGCTTACGTTTTAGACGAAGTAAAATAAGCGTATAAACTAAATGCACCACTTCATCTCCGATATTCCCTATTCTTATTTGGTTTCGATTTTGTAATTCTAAGCAAATCACACTTAAAATTCTTCATTTTCCGAACTTTTAATGTTAGACTTACTTCAGTTACCTACCCGGATCTTGTGAGAGGGATAGCTACTCGTAGGGTAGTTATCATTTACACTCCTTTTTCATTCCTTTGCATCCCAAGTGGAAGATAGTGCTTCAGGTTTAATCTCTGAAGTCTCAGTACCTTTGGTGTTATTGTCTTTAAAGCTTGAAGGGTTGCTCGCTTCACTCGGTCAATCTACCGTCTTTACTGGGCTTACTACCGGCCAAGCGCTGTTAAACAGAGTGCGTCATTCAGAAGTCGAACCTTCGATACAAGTTAGAGTACTAGTTGTTTCGTCCTAGCTACAGACTCTTCATCAGTATGCACCCAAGACCTTCAGATTACAATATCAGCTTGTAGACCATTAAGCCACTTGTACGTGATCTAACGGCCAGCCCATGAATTCCAGCTTCTCCAAATTTGTAATGAATAACGCAACTGGAAACCAACAACTGATAAATTAAAATGTCTTTGTACTAGGATGAAACAGCTGACTGTCGAGCACTCCAGTGCTGGTTTTCAATGATTCTCTAACTGATATCAATCCGTGATCAACTCGTAAAAACAAATCTAATCCTTACAAACCAAACTATAGAAAATTAATCTGATGCTCGCTAGTGACTTGCTACAAAATGGAGATTCCTGGAGTCAGTTCTAGTGAAAAGTCGTAACCAGTGACGTTCATTCAGTCAAGTGTCAGGATGGATGTCCCACAGATGACACTGGTTGGTGGTCTTGCTAAATTACTATTTGTTAGAATCGGAAAGTCCTGGGTTCGAACCTTGGTGGTGGATGCGTACTGCCAATGATTCCCAAGAGACTAGGATGAAACAACTGTCCAGTACTTTCTGTTGGTTTTGAAAGGTTCTCTAGCTGATATCAATCCTCGGTGGTCAAACTCGGATAAACAAACCTAATCCTTACAAATCAAACCCTTGAAAATTAATTCTGTTATAATTTATCAAAATACATAGGCAATAGCAGAAATCAATGGGTGATCACACACACACACTCTCACACACAAGAATACAATGTACAATATGTTTTTTTATATTTCGTATACACATTCAAGTAATGATATATCCTGTACACAGTACCACTCCTACTAACTGCTACTACTGTGATAATTAAACGTTAGAAGTTTTGAAGATCAATAATAAACTTCATTCATTCAATGAAGTTTTAATTATACAGCTGAGGATATAATCTTATAAACAAACAAGATAATGGAAAGACAACGTACTTTAGAAAAAGAGTAGTAATAATGATAATAACTGTAATGATATACATTCAGAAAATTGCATTGTCAACTAAAGGTTTTTTTATGATACCAGTACCAGTTCCCTATCCATCCAACAACCTCTGTACTCTCCTCCACACTACACTACACTCAACCAGCTGAAGTCTTCTCATGCATCCTTCTTTCCTCTGTCACTCTGTGTATCTCAAGAAAAAGACTGGACAAAAAGATAGAGAAAGCGGTGTATTGACAACGAGAAGATGGGCGCAGGGGGGGGGAAAGAGAACTGAGAAAGTGATGAATAATGAAAGCACCATATACACGTATATGTGTATGTGTATATGCATTTAAACAAGGCAGAAACCAGCTCAAAAGTTCTCTTCAGCATATTAGTCTGTTCTAAAACGATAAGCATTTGCCCAGATATCTGATAGGCAAACAGTTGAATGAAAACGAAAGAATACAATCAGTGGGAGAGCAATATGCGTAATAATTCTCCATGCCATTGACGAATAATAATTAATGTGTATACTATGATTATCAGCACGTTTCACTTCAAATGTGTTCACAAACCACATAGCTAAATTTAAAACTAATAAAAATGTGATCATTGTACGTCCTGGTTTATTTTGTACATGTTCTAGTGTGCCAGCGCAACGTCTTGATGCTTCAAGGATGAAAAATACCTACAGGCAGTTAAAAGAAAACAAAAATGGGATAGAAGATAAGTAAGATATTGGTAAGAGCTGGTTGCGAACATGCTAAAAACTGTAGATAGCAGTTTACGTCAATGTTTACGTCCCAAATCAGGGTCATGAGAAAAACAACCCACGAGCCAATCACAGCAGACTTAACGTGTGCAAATAGGATTCGCAGATATATGGCTTAACTTTCTGAGAAATGGTCACAGGCAGTGCAGAATAACCTTCAGAGAGAAATCAATCAATCAGAAGACGTTGTTTCTCCGCTGACAATAATGTACATAAGAATCTATAAATATCTGTTGATTTTCTTAATAAAGGATCTATTGCTTGTCCCTTGTCTTCTGTCGTTACAGTAGTAGAAGTAGTAATAGTGACACTTTTACTCTGTAACCCTTCTTCGCACGTGAATTTGACAGCTCGATTGAAAATTTGTAGGGATTTGATCACAAATTAACATGATTTAGAGAACTACTGAAAACCAGTCAAAGAAAACAGAACAACGCGTTTGTCCTAGTTTGGCAATTTTGCTAAGGATGCAACCATCAGAGTTGCCAGGAGTTTTAGTGGAAAGTATTGACCAGTGGGATCAGGTAGACGGGGGAGGAGGTGAGGATAAATATTCACCAGTGACAGTGGATGGTGGTCGTGCTATAAGCAGAAATCATGGGCTGGCCACTGGATCGGATCCCAGTGGTTGAAAGGTCTATGGGACTGCCTTGTAACAGGAAGGTCCTGGGTTCGAGCCCTGGCGGTGTGTGTGTACTGCCGGTGAGTTCCAAACTAGGAGATAATGGCTGTCCAGTACATACTGGTGGTTTGCAAAGGTTCTCTAACTGATACCAATCCATGATTAAACTTGATTGCAATTTACTGAACTGAGATATTATTGTTCATTTGTGAACAAAGGATGAATGTATCATAGATAAAGAGAGTTTTAGCTAAAACTATCAACAGTTCTCTATTAGGTCACAGGCCACAAGGCTAGCAGTGAAGATTCTCTTTCTGTGATCTGTCAAATACCGAATAAATTGCTAGAGGCCTCCAAATAGTGAATACTGCAAACAGCACAGGCAATTGCAATTCGCTTAAATCAATCAGGGGCTGAACACTTCAAAAGACTTCTAAATTGACCGCCACCTACAGCGCCCCCAATAATACCAACGGCGGAAACAGAACTACCAGTGGACATCAACTCTCCAACGAAAACAGAAATCCTGAAGGCAATCAAGATGCTAAAAGCCGGAAAAGCAGCAGGACCAGATGGAATCCCAGCAGAAGCATTGAAAATGGACCCAGAGACATCAGCGGACTTGAAAAAATCACTACTGGAGAAGGTGTGGAAACAAGGCAAAGTACCCGAGGATTGGAAGAAAGGATACTTATTCAAACTACCAAAGAAAGGAGACCTAAGTCAATGCAAGAACTGGCGCGGAATTATGCTCCTGTCCATCCCAAGCAAAATACTAAGCCGCATCATCCTGGAGAGAATCAAACATGCCCTGGATGAAAAACTTCGACCGGAACAGGCTGGATTCAGGAGAAACAAGTCATGCATTGATCAGATCGCCACACTACGGATCATCATTGAACAAAGCCTGGAATGGCAGTCACCTCTCTATCTCAACTTCATCGACTTTGAAAAGGCCTTTGACAGCGTCGATTGAGAGGTGATTTGGCAACTACTTCGCTATTACGGGGTGCCACCGACAATAATACATCTCATCCAACAGCTGTACGACAATGCTGCACGCCAAGTAATCCACAACGGGAAACTCACGGAATCCTTTGAAGTGAAGATGTGAGTAAGACAAGCTGGCTGCCTACTATCGCCAATGATTTTCCTGATTGCAGTAGATTGGATAATGCGAAAGACAGTGGGCGATGAGGAAACAGGCATGAAATGAACCCACACGAAAAACTTGGAGGATCTGGACTTCGCCGATGATATATGTCTAATTTCCCACAAACTGGAAGATATGCAAGCGAAAAGCAACAAGTTGGCAGACGACGCATCCAGAGAAGATAGGACTTCAGGTGAATATAGATAAAACAGAGGTGATGAAGATTCCTGGTCAACAACAGACAACAATCAGGATAAATGAGAGGAACTTGAAAGAAACAACCTCTTTCACCTACCTGGGAAGCATCATTTCAACTGCAGGAAAAGCAAGACAAGCTTTCACTACTCTCAAGTCTGTGTGGAGGCCAACAACACTCAGCATCAAAAATAAGATCCGGATTTTCAACTCCACTGTGAAGTCAGTGCTACTATACGGATCAGAGACTTGCACTGCGCGTCATAAAGAGCATCTCAAACAAATACAGACCCTTATTAACAGTTGTCTTCCCTCAATACTCAAGATCAGATGGCCAGAAAAGATCAGCAACAGGGATCTCTGGCAATGAGCGAACCAACCCAGCAGGAACCGATTGTGAAACAAATAGGCAGGAAGAAATGGAGATGGATTGGCCATACTCTGAGGAAACAAACCATCAAGTGACATCACTAGACAAGCCATTGCTCGAGTGGAACCCGGCTGAAAGGGAAGCGGCGAGATGGTCGTCAGTGCGAGGGTGATTTGGAGGATGTCATATGAAGAGGAGATGAAAGCATGTGGGCACACTTGGAGCCGGGTGAAAACGTTAACAGACAACCGAACCCAATGGAGACGTGTGGCTGAAGCCTTATGTTCCTCTAAGAATTAAAGGAAACAACAATAATAATATAATAAATAATAATTAATCAAGTAGATGTCTGTGTGCGAAAGTAATAAGCCCAGAGACTAGTGATGCTCTGACCTTCTTTAGGATATATAAGTTTATTAACTCTGTAATACTTCCCTTAATTTATCTGATATTCAATTTAATATCACATTTTTATGCACATTAATACTCAAAGAAGCTTTAGAACTGTAATCTTGTCATACTGTTGATCCAGTGTTACTTATAGCATTGTTGTCAGTAATATATATAAGGGCTCAAGAATGCTATTCTGCATGATTGCAGAAAGATAGTACCGGCTGTATAAGAAGGGAAGTTAGTGGATACTTTGTAGACACTTGCCACTCTGTCTCAATAAAACCCTCCTCAAGGTGATCTAGAAGGTGAGACGACAAGCTTTCATTGTGGGTAAAATTTAATTCGATGAAGTATCATGGTGTTATACAGTAATATTTATTGATGACCACGTTTCCAGAACAATTTATAACTGCTCATTATCATATCAAGCCACGACTCGTACAACTTTCTAACTTCGTTTATATAACTCTATTATTTTTCATTGCGTGATTTGATTGGTAGTAGTATTTTCCATATTTCCGGTATGAATGATGAGTCATTTGTATTGAATGTGTTGGGTGTAGACTCAATGAACCAGGATTCCGTGATTAACCTCTCTCTCCACCCACCTATATTACTTCTTAGAATTTTAACCGTCTCCCATCCTATTGTGTGATTGTGTGTTAATGCCTACGATGCAATGCGGTGCTGAGCTTTTTTCTAAATTATTTATCTTTGTGGGGTCAATCATTCTAACCTTCGCTAAATTCTTTATCAACATAAATTTTACCCAAAATGGAATTATACTCTACCACAGTGCACAAGTTCTATTCTTATATCAACGACCGACTTTCGCCTTATTTGCACCGTTGAAGCTCTAGTCATCCAAATGGAGGAAAAGGAGTTGTGCATGCAAAAGGAAATCTTTCATCCATTTCTGTTGTCATGGTAATAAACCCTATTGTTTTCAACCTAATTATTTTACTTATTTTATTTGTTTCCCTGACACCTGATTCATCTATTCTCCTGAACTCTTAGGTAACATAAACGTATCCTTGTTTCTATGTACATTCTGATTACAACTCACGTATCAAGTTATTTATCGTATTATGTTACTTGATCACCCTTCCTTACTGGACCTCTCATTTGTATTGATTAATATTATTAGCAGCTATTCTTATAATGATTAATTCAAACTTGATATCTCCATCTAACAAAATTATGTACACCTTATCTTCAAATCACCAGTTGCACAGATCTTCCGTGTTGTTGTGCCTGCTACTTCTGGCCTTCCTTCATATTGTGTGTGTTTCTTTGTGTTCCTTTCACGTCTCCTGCGTATCTCTGCAAGGCTGTATCATATGCTTCCTCTGACATCAAATTTATCTCCCTGCTATTTGATATTCTTATACCGATGAACATCTCTTTATGTGCACATACTACTGATAAATCTTATCAGTAGCACTCGCCCCACTATGTGTCTAGTCCTCGGTGTTGGCGAAGAGTGAATTCTATCAGTCAAGTTTGTAATACAGGTGATTCACCATAGCAGCGATCTCTAACTTGACGTTAGATGTTTCAAGTGTGATGAGGGATTGATATTAATGAGAGAACTATTGAAAATAAGCAGTGATTACTGAACAGCTATTTCGTCCTAGTTTGGGATTTTTCAAAAGTACACAACTGCATTGGTTCGAACTCAGTGCCTACCGGTGAAAAGGCTAGCTCGTGGATCATTCAGCCACTACGACCCGATTCAATGGCCTACCGATGAATCTCAGCCTCTACCAACTCGTGACTTTAGCGTGATAACTATCCGAAGTCATTGATGAGTGTTTGTACTCACACCCAATTAGTTACGAGTTTTCAACATAACGCCAGGCAACCTCATCCTGTAGATACTAACTAGATTAACTTTCATGAATGGGAAGTCGTGACCTGTGGGGTCCATCTGGTCGAGTATGAGGACGAATATCCGCCGATGATATTGACTTTTGGTGGCACTGAGATCACGAATTGGTAGAAATTGGAATTTATGAACCACTGAATCGCCTCACAATAGCTAAATGATAACTGATGGGTCCTGAGTTCGAACTTTATGGGTGCGTACTGATGAAGAGCCCCGGGGAAAAGACGAAACGGCTGTCTGGTACTTCGTTCCGCTTTTCAGTGATTCTCTAATTGATATCAATCCATGATCAGACTTGAGACAAATCAAATTCTTAGAAACTAACCCATGGAAATTAATTTTAGATGGCTGTAGGCTGGAGGTCGGGCTAAATTCACGAACTGGTAGACGTTAGGATTCATTTGTTAGCCATTGAATTGGGTTACAGTGGCTGAATAGTATATGAGCTGGCTTGCCTTGTAACCGGAAGGTTCCGGGTTCGAACCATGGTGGTGGGTGCGTACTGCCGACCATTCCAAAGAGACTAGGGTGAAACAGCTGTCCAGTACTCCAGTACTGTTATTCAATAGTTCTCTGACTGATATCAATCCGTGGTCAAACTCGTAAAAAGAAATCAAATCCTTACAAAGCAACCCTTGTAAAAAATAAGTATATATTCATAATATGAGGCGTACTCAGTAGACACTCACCTGTAACATAGACTGTACCATTTCAAGTATAGATTTAGCTGTATACAATTTCGCTGCAATCACACCATTCGGTATAGCTTCTAAAGCTGGGACTAGTAGAAATAGATCGTAGAACAGCATTCCAACTAAACCAATTAATAGTAAATTGTCATCGAATGCCACTTCTTCAGACAAGTCACTTAACTTCAGCGCTCTTAATCGAAACAGACTAATTATGCATGTGATTGTACTAACGGAGAGTAGTACTAGCTCTGTACCTTGATACAATGTGATCGCTGTATTCTTTGTTTCATTTTTAACAATGAATATAAAGAACAAGCTCATAGCAACTAATGTGGCCATAAATATCAATAGGCCAACAAATAATCCTTTATGCGAACGATGACATTCAGAGAATTGTTTTGTCTTCAGATTGGCTTTACGCAATTTCTCTAAACGTTCTGATTCTTTGCGTACATGTCCAACTTTCTCGAACATTTTATAGAAGATAGCGCCAGCAATTAGACTGTATTCAATAGCACAAGGAAATAAGAAGGGGGCGAGTTTTTTCACTGTTGATCCACAAGCTGTATAGAATGTTGAAAAAAGAGAAAAATAATGGCGAAATGAACAGCTCCAACGAAATGTTACTGAATACATGAATGAAGACACATTATTATTTTTTTAATATTTATTTTATTGGAAAAGCTTGGAGTACTGGACAGCTGTTTCGTCAGCCTAGTTTTGGACCCTTCAGCAGTACGCACCCACTGGGATTCAATCTCAGAACTTTCCGGTTACAAGGCGAGCTCGTAGACCATCAAGCCACCGGATGCGTGTTGATGAAGAGTTTCAAATTAGGACGAAACAGCTGTCCAGTACTCCATACTGGATTGCCAATGGATCTCCAGCTGTTGTCAACTCATGATGGAACCCTACAACCAATCAAACACAATCCCTACAAAACCATTACTTGAAAATCTATTTTATTCCCTTACGGTCCCAGTGGAACATTGGGCTTCAAGGTAGAGCTTTGAAGTTTCGGTAGCAGGGGTGTTTCTTTTACGAGGTATGGTTGCTGGCCTTAATCCCAGTCTTCCCTTTTTAGCGTCCTTATTACTGGCTTAGTGAGGTTTTGGAGTGCTTCAGCCGGGAATCGAACTTCGAACCACATGCGTGGTTGGCGAACATTCTACAGCTGTGCTACCGACGCCGTACCGACTTTTCAGATACTGAATGAATGTCTTTCTTTCATGATTCGATCCTTCTTAACTTGGATTTCTCTTGTTGATGGTTATTGATACTTGTTACTATCAGTTTGGCATCTTCATTGGCATTGTCTCCTCTATATTCACCTGAAATTCTTCCAGTGTTGGCTGCCACTTCTGTCAACTTTGTATATGAGAAGTGTTGACTGCTTGTTACTTGTACACATCGTCCTACAAGTTGCAATGTAAAATGTAATACAAATTTTCCCAGTGTTTTAAGGAAGCTTCAATGGAGAAAAGAGCGTCAGTGTTTCAAAGGTAGAACATCAGCCCATCACGCAAGTAGTCCCGGAGTTCAATCCCTGGCCGATGCACTATTTTACCTTACGTGACTAGTAGTATACGTGGTAAAAAGGGAAGGTTGGGTATGAGGTTAGCAACCCTATCCCGTAAAAGATCATCAATGCTACTGAATCTTAAAAGCTTTAGCTTGAAGCCCTATGTTCCAGTTGGAACGCAAAGGAACAAACCAAATAATAATGATGAATATCGTATCAGGGTGGAAAATTTGTGAGAAGCAGCATATTTCATCGTTTGATAATTAACATATGTTAAAGTTAAACAATAGCTTCCCACTTGTGCGAACGCTCTAGTGGCCTTCAACTCATACTAGTCGTTGGCTGACGACATTCGCCATTATTTCACAGCAAATATGAAAGCTATTCACCAATTAAACAGCAGATTTCACATAGATCACCTTTTTAATTACTGTTTGAACAATGTGTTAACAGCTCGTTAGGGTTACGGTTAGGATCAGGGTTATAATTAGTGGTAATAGCAAGGTTAGGGATACAAATAGGGATAGGTTTGGATTTGGTATCATTTCTTTTGATTTGTTTAATTATTATCCACATTTTCTTTGGAAGTAGCCGTTGATTCTCTTACCGGAACCCACGTAATTCAACCGATGGCTTTTGAAGAAGACTGGAAAACTGGATAATAGCGATAAATGGGTCAGAAAGAAAGCTTACCTTAAGTCACCTCGGTGAATATATGTGTAGAAACTGGTCTAACTTAAAAACTGATATTCCTCATTATAATGGAGAGGTATTTTTAAGTCATGTCAGAGAAAGGTACCCTGTGTAATGTGTTTTCATTCATTTTCTTGTCAATAAACGTGATGGTTGGTTTGTTTATGCTCACTCATGCGTTCTCATCATTTGGGACTCAGTAGTTTAACTTTGCCAAAATATAACATAAAATTCTGTAAAACGTAGTTGAATGTGTACACCATTTGCTCATACGATGATCCAAGTGGTCAGTTCCTTGATGCAACTATCAGTCACCAGATTGTTCGCATCCAATCATACAAGTTTGGTTGTACAAACTTGAATAATTTTAAATCATCTTTTTCGGGTCTACGATGTCAACTCTCGGCGCAAAATAAACAACATAATTATGAGATATCAAAAGTACTTCTACTTAGATATGTGTGTGTCTTTAACATCCCTACAATGTAAACCGGATTGCTGGGTCGAAACTTGCCTGCTACACCTGCAGTCTGCATAGTTGAACTCCCATGATCCATATGCACTGATACACTAGGCGTGGTTTTCTTCCCATCCGACAATACCATATTGGCTAAATGAGATAAATTAAAACTTGGTGAATTTGCACTGTTTGAATATTCGTGTAAATTTGTATCGGGATCAGCTTGAGACTCTAAAAAATATTCAATTGGTAGGGCGAATTCGTGACTTGATCGATTCGACTCTCCACCTTCTCCTCCTACGCCGCCTCCTGCGCCGCCGCCTCCTCCTCCTCCTCCATGTGATGGTTCACTACCGATTTCATCAACGATTGTCTTCAACCACTGGCAAAGATTGGCTACAGCCAAATGGCATAGAAAGAAGCGGAGAACAAATTTCTGTACATTGAATACAACCTAGAATAAGGGTAATGAGATAAAGAAATACATATTGAGAAATTTAATTAAGGTGTACATAAACTGTGATGCTACTTTTTTTCTTATAAGTAGTTTGTAAATGTTTACACAAAATTCCAGAATCAATCAGGAATTTTTTTATTCCTTCACGTTCCCAGTGGAACATAGGCCTTCAAGCTAGAGGCTTCAAGTTTCTGTAGCAGTTTTTATTTTACCACATGCCCAACCTTTCCTCTTCACCAGCTTATAGTTCCGATTTAGCGAGGTAAAGGAGTGCACCGGCCGAGGGTCGAACCCCGGACCATGTGCATGGTCGGCAAGCGTCCTAACCGCTATGCCACCGACGCAGCGTAATAAGGTATGAGGTGAGTAATATTCGGTGTTTGGTGGATGTTGACTAACAGTATGGAATCCAGGATGCACATCTCGACCTAGTAGACCAATCACTATCAACAGGAGAAATCTGATAGAGGCTACTTCCTTCACTTATCTAGGAAGCATCATATCAACCACCCGCGGAACGGATGAATATGTCAAAGCCAGACAGTCAAAATCGGAAAGGCAAGATACACATTCATCAACGTGAAACCAGTTTGGAGATCTTCCGCACTCAGCAGCATAAAGAACAAGATTCATATTCTGTTCAACACAAATGTGAAGTCATGACAAGCATTTCTAACAGGCAGCTGCAGATTGCCTTCCTTGGCTCCATACTGAATATTACATGGCTAGTGAGAAAGAAGTGGCAACAAGAAACTATGAGAATAAGCTGACCAAGAACCTGTCGCTCGAAAAATATGCAGAAGAAAGTGGAGATGGATTGATGGAGCATACGTTGAGAAGGTCATTGGATGACATCGCGAGCAATGCAGACGATTGCTTAAGTGGAATCCCAATGAGAAGCGACGAGTGGGTTGTCGATTCGAGGGTGACATGGAGGAGATCATGTGAGGAGGAGATAAGAGATTATGGGCAATCGTGCGCTCAGCCTAATATGCCATCAAAGAATAGACAAGAATGGAGATGTGTTGTTGAAGCCGAATGTTCCGCTCGGAACCCAAGGGAATAATCATGTGCCTCGGTGGCACAGTGGTTAGGACTCTCGCCGACCATGCACATGGTCCGAGGTTCGATCCCCTGCCGACGCACACCTGATATCTATGGTCGGCCTGCAAAATTTGGGCTACCGATATCCACGCTGAAAATGCCATACTTGTACTGAAAAATACAGTGTGGCATCAAGCTGTAACCAAAAATAAAAAAAATAAATAATAATACAGGCCAATATTATGGCACCAACTTATATATGTATGTATACACAATGGATACATATATGATTGTACAGCTATGAAAATGAAGGCGTCAAAAAGAGCATTCTTTTCGCTGAAATTTTAGAATTTAGAGGCGACACTTTGAGTGAAGTACCTAAAAATTGTCTGATGAGATCATTGGGGAAAAGCACGTTCTTTGCTACCACTTTACGAATAGTCTACTCTAGCTGTCCACTGGTTCACCTTAATGTCAAGGAAATGTTACCTCGATTGTCTAATTCTATGTGTATTCATATGTTCACTTGCTCTTGGGGAACTAGGTATGTAGGATGTTCATCGAGAGAGCATGTTAGAGTGCACCTCCCAGCTTGGTTGATCAAAGGAGAGTGTAGAGGTATTAATTCATTGATATTGCTACATTTTGTAGATACTGTCCAAGCAGCATCTGAAACATCATTCAGTGCAGTCTACGAATTTCGACAAAGTTTACCGAAAGGGACATTGATGGATTTTCTTTGCATAGTGGAGGCATTGGCAATACATAACATAACATAACATAAAGTTAGAACTTCGTGTACCAAACACAATTTGTAAGATCTCTTTCGTTACCACCCCATGGTCTTGTCTTTACTGTGTATTTCACATAGAAATTTTGTTATCCTTCTTTATATTAAATATTCCCATAGTAAAATTTAGAACAACACATTTAAGCGAACAATATTGTTTTCAATTAGATCTCATCAGGCTTAACTCTAATATATATAAGTTTACAAATAAAATTCAAATATAAACCAATCATGGTGTTTTGTCTATAGGATAATTAGATGGTGAATATAAATTGTGCAATTAGTCATAATAGTAGTAATGATAATAATAATAATAATAATAGTAATAATAGAAATGGTCTTATCAATAATAAGGATGAAAAAGTGAGGCAATCTGTGATAACACGAATAATGAAAAACAGCATGATTAAACAAACAAACAACTGTTCAGGTGGAAGTAGTCGATAAAGGCTAGTAAAAACAAATGAACCGATTAAGTAATGTTAGATTGTAAGGGAAGGAAATGAAACACGTTTATAATGAAGATAAGATTAAGGAATGATAATGTGTTGTTTCTCTCATGTCAAATTGTAATACAAAACTTCTAAAAAGGAATAATAGTGCTGGATGTTTCTTGATATGTCTCTCTAGGTCTGATGAAGCCAGCTATGCCTAGTGTTTTGTGATTTTGGAACAGTTGCCATCACAACTAAACGAATGCTGGATATTGGCTCTCCTTATTAAGACAACTGTAGTGAATTATTCGGTTTCCATTATCTGTTGTTTTGTCTGTCCCTAATTCTTTGAGTAGTAGAAGCTGTATGCATTCGCCTGAGATAATCGGAAATGAGCATACACATAAACCGGTGAATCCACTAATACTACTGCTTTGGCTTGCCTTCAAACCCTTATTTTCTATGGTTACTACCTTACTAAGTATGGACTTTACAACATCTCTGTAATATATGCCTATTTATAATGAAGATAAGATTAAGGGATGATAAGAAAGGGGTTGAAAATATAAACAAAGGGTGGTGTAGAAGTCATTTGTTGGTTACGTCTTAATAGGCCAAGGGAGGGATAAAGGCTGTAATAGTAATAATAAGAATGGTCTTATCATCCCTTAATCTTATCTTCATTATAAACGTGTTTCATTTCCTTCCCTTACAATCTAACATTACTTAATCGGTTCATTTGTTTTTACTGGTCTTTATCGACTACTTCCACCTGAACAGTTATTTGTTTAATCATGCTGTTTTTCATTTTCCATTATTCGCGTGTTGTCACAGATTGCCTCACTTTTTCATCCTTATTATTGATAAAACCATTATTATTATTATAATTACTGCTATTATGACTAATTGCACAATTTATATTCACCATCTAATTATCCTATAGACAAAACACCATGATTGGTTTATATTTGAATTTTATTTGTAAACTTATATATTTTAGAGTTAAGCCTGATGAGATCTAATTGAAAACAATATTGTTCGCTTAAATGTGTTATCCTTTTTTATTCCATGTTCCATTTTTGTTTTATTTCATTTCACTTAATGTTATCATATTCTAACATTTTATCTAGTCTACTATCTTGACAACTTTTTCACTCATCTCAACTTGCATTGGCAAGAAATGAAACATCATCGAAAATACCCATTGAGTCATGAAGTAAAATAAAAGACAATTCAGCGAAGAAAAGGTTTTCTTTATCGACGAAATCATCTTCAGAGGCTGCATAGTCGTATCTGTACTCGTTTACTAGACAAATGCATAATATATTGCGAATCCTAAAAAACAAATTAGAAAACTCTACAGCGTCAATGTGTTTACCCAAAATCACAAAACTCTTACATGTCATACATACACAACAATATTGATGCTATCCGTTCCCAGACTTCTGATTTAGAAAGGAAGATTTCAAGGAAAATATATGTGCCAAACAAACTTTCAACAGGAATTAGTATACAATGTGAATATTACATTAAGATGGTTATAGAACACAAACGGAATAGTGTTAATCTTAAATTCAAAAATCTACTAAAGCCAAGTGTGAGTCAAATGGAATGTTCACGAAGCACCCCGAAAAATACGTCTTTAACTATTCCTCGATTAATCTGAGTTCTCTTCAAATTGAGATATTATCATCTGGCTCAAAACTCCGTATACCTCAATCGAAACATGAGTGAATAAAGGATGGAATCTGTGTCACTGATGAAGTGAAGTTAACCACCTACTGGTTCTTCTGTATGTATATTCTAAGAACGTTTGGTATTTGGACTAAGTTCAATGCAGATTTCATCACAAACCAACTGACACCAATAAGACAGTCACGGGAAAGCAAAGAGAATTGGACGTACGTTTCATCCTAGTAAGAGAGTCTTCAGCAGTATGTTTCGACAACCTCACCAAGATTCGAACATTGGACCTTCAGTTTTCAACAACTGTCGAATTGGCTGCAGGATTTCATCATGAGCTGACATCAGTTACAGAACCATTGGAAAATCACCAAGGAGTACTGGACAGCTGTTTCGTCAGCCTATTTTCCGACTCTTTATGAGTACGTACCCGCCCCACCGGGGTTCGCACCCAGGACCTACTAGTTAAAAGGCTAGCAAGCTCGTACATCATTTAGCCACTGGGAACCGATCCAATGGTCAACCCATGAATTTCAGCTTCTGCCAATTAACGAAATAGCACGACGACTAGCCAATGTAATCGCTTGCGAGTATTTATCCTCACACCCTACCTGTTGCAACAAACTTATCACGAATTCCCACTAGAACTCCAGGTAACTTTCCACCTGAATAGGGCCAGTCGCTAGTGAGCGTCTCATTGATATTCAAGTATTGGTTTATCTAATGGTTCTGTAACCAATATCAGCTCATAATGAAATCCCGCAACCAATCATTCGAATTCCTACTTGAATTGTCTAATTAATGTTTGTTTCGTTCGTTAGTCAGACAATTAATAATTGTTAGGCAATATGTTGACTAGCTTACACCACTATGAACAGAAATACTTGGGATTAGATAACAAAGAAATAAAGTGTGTTAACCAAAGAATAATAAAACTGTTGACTAGCTTTTTGGTGGAGCAATTCAGATGCCTTCTTTTCTTTTCCATTACTAAGTTGGATCTTCTCTGAAACTTTCGAGTTTATACATACGTCCGCCTGCCTCCAAACTTTATTTTTGTGAACTGTCTTCACTCCTTTGTTCTCTGGTGTCCTGATTATTCGTCAGTTAACTAGCTTACTGCCAACCCTCACAATTATGTAAAGGTTGTTTCCCATATTTTTAGAAACTTTTATTTCACATACATTTTGATTTATTTTGTGACTAACTGACACACAGACCTGATCTCTGTTGTCATTTACCATTCTGAACAAATTTAGTTAGAGCGAACAATTGTCACTTTTCTATAGTTTGGGTGCAAGGGTTAGTTTTGTTTTCACGAGTTGATCACGGATTGATATCAGTTAGAGAACCATTGAAAACCAACAGGGAGTACTGCACAGCTGTTTCCTCCTAGTTTGGGAATCATCGGCAGTACGCACTCACTGGGAAGTTGTGAGGTCCAATTAGATGTCACGTGTGAGGATGGATGTCCCACAACGACAATAGTTGGGGTCGCGCTAAATCACGAATTGGTAGAAGTTAGAATTCATACACTGGCCATTGAATCGGGTCCTAGTGGCTGAATGGTATACGAGCTTGCCTTGTGACCGGAATGTTCTGGGTCCGAATCCCAGTGGGTGCGTATTGCCGATGATTCCCAAACTAGGATGAAACAGCTGTCCAGTACCCCCTGGTTTTCAATGGTTCTCTAACTGGTATCAATCCGTGATCAACTCGTAAAAATTGTCGCTTTCAATAAATTCTTCTTCAGGGTCTACAATTAAAAATCCGTTAAATTCATTTCAGCATACTATAGCCAGCCATTAAAGGCAAATTAGATTCAGAAATGTCTATTGTGGAACAAGTATAAGATGGGATGGAACAATTGTCAGTTATTCAAGTGTTGGTTTGTAGGGATTTGATTGGTTTTAGGATTTCATCATGAGCTGACATTAGTTAGAGAACCATTGGAAAACCTGTGAGTACTGGACAGCTGTTTCGTCCTAGTTTGGGACTATTCATCAGTATGCACCCACCGGGATTCGTATGCATGGTTAGTGAGAACATGAGATAAAATGGGGTGAAATAATCCAGTGGTATGGCTGTATATATATATATATATATCGCATATGGCGTCATTATTCACTAACGTCCCACTGCTAAAAACACTCAACTACTTATGTGACCAACTGACGAAACGAAAGGTCGATGTAGAAATCCCACCGGAAAAGGTCGAGGAATTACTATTGAAAGGCACGATGACTGTACAGTTTATGTTGAACAATGGTTTTTATAGACAAGTTGATGGTGTTGCCATGGGATCACCTCTGGGCCCTATGCTAGCGGATATTTTCCTTGCAAAGCTTGAAAATGTTCCACTCAAAGACACACTAATATTGCCGATACGTAGATGATACCTTTATCGTTTGTGATAGAAATCTTAATACACAAGAGCTTCTAAATGCTATGAATAGTGTTCAGCGAGCTATTCAGCTTATTAGTGAGGAAGAAGAAAATAACAGTATACCTTTCCTAGACATCCTCCTCACCACTGAAACAGGCGGATATTTGCAAAGGAACCTATTTAGAAAGAAGAGTTGGACGGGTCAGTACACCCATTTTCATAGCTTCCCACCGATTCAATACAAAAGAAACTTGGTTAAGTGTCGTAGTTATAGAATAAAACCAATATGTTCAGAGGAATGCATTAATGAAGGAATGTGTAAACTGAAACTTACACTAAAAGAAAATGGATACCCAAAGAACTTCATAAAAAGGTATATGTCAATACCTAGAGGTAGGGTAACGATGGATACCGTAGACAAGAAACCTTTGTATCTTAAGTTAAGTGATAAAGAGGAAATTACAGCTGACGTTCTAAAATGCTGACCTAACATAGCAGTAGAGGGAACATTTTCTGCAACTAAACTGGTACTCAGCTTCTCAACCAAACCAATACTCACACAACGAATCAAGGATAAATTATCAAAGATGGCCTCATCAGTGGTCTTAATTAAATGACATAGGAATTTTTCATAGCTCACACCGTTCATAGTTTCAATAGATATAGGAGTAAACATAGAGAAGAATATATAGGTGATGACGACACTCAACCAACAGCAAGAATAACAAATACCAGTTATCAAGAGTAGAGGAAATCTGAAGGAAGTTGTCTTATCAAGCCAGCATCCTCTCATATATAAAGGAAGAGAATATTAAAGTGAAAGTGACAAGAGAATGAATCGAAAAAAGCTACACAGGTCGCGATTAATTTGAAATTACTGGAAATCTTTAGTAGGAAAATTTCCTCATGAGCTGACATCAGTTAGAGAACAATTGGAAACCACAGGGGAGTACTGGACAGCTGTTTCATCCTAGTTTGGGACTATTCATCAGTATGCACCCACACCTCAAGAGTTCGAATCCAGGACCTTCTGGTTATAAGGCCAGTGAGCTCGTAGACAATTAAGCCACTGGTTCTATTGGAAAGCTGTGACCAGTAGAGTTCAGCAGGTTGAAGATGAGACAGTAACTCATCGAAGATGACATTCCGAAATGGTCGCACCATATCATGAATTGGCGCAAGTTGAAATTCACGGGCTGGCCGTTGGATTGGGTCCCAGTGACTTAATGGTCTACGAGCTCGTTGGCCTTGTAACTTGAAGGCCCTGGGCTTGAACACTGGTGGTGGGTGCGTACTGAGAAGATTCAAAGTGGCTGTCCAGTACTCCTTGGTGCTTTTCCAATGGTTCTCTAACTAATTTCAGCTCATGATGAAATCCTCCAACCAATCAAACAAAATCCTACAAAAACCAATACTTGAAAATCTTTATTACTCAGTACAGGGAACAGGAATGGAATTTTCAAAGCTACCATCGTGTTAGTTAGTGCTCCTGTATTGTTCAAAGGCCTAGCGAGCGTCACAAAAATTATTCCTAACAGGTTGCAGACTTTCATCTACACCTGCTTTTAGCTGACGTTATCTAGAGTCAAATGGTCGGCTCCATAGGATGAGCAAAACCGAACACTGGCCGGCAGTGAACCAACCTTTGCCTAACCAAGATTGGTCGTGTTCAGAAATGCGAATATAGAATAATCTGTTGCTAGTCTCTGCTAATCAACTGCAAACCACAAGGAGTTGGAAATAATCTGTGTTAAACTTTAAAGACAATTTTTTTTGCTTGCTGTAACGAAAGCAAACAAAAATGTTCACAAAAGTGTAATTTTTTATGGAAAAACACATACACAGTGTTCAAATATTTGATCAGTGCTTTCCAATCACTTATTATTTACATACATAGTGTGATTATATATGGCTTTTCAGTCGACTGCGTTTCAAATGCAGAAACGTTTGTTGTTGTTTTGTTTTTTTTGTCGAAATTTATGCCATATAACAATTGTAAAGCACACAAAAGCTATTCAACACTTGAAGATCGCATGTAGATGTAATCGATTATATTTCAGATCAGCGAAAAATGGAAGGCGGAATGTTTGCTGCTATCATCAAGAGAAATCTGATACACTCCTTATCTTCAAGGAGAAGAAGGATATGCACCGGTGATAAAATTGACAGGAAACTGAAGCGACTCAGACAAGTACTCCTAGAGAATGAATATCCTCTAAAATCTATCGAGAAAAACATGAAGGTAAAGCAAAAAACCTGAAAGAACCTATACGGTGCCGAAGAAACCGCTATTTATGAACGTTGAATTTAAAGGCGATACTGAGGCTGAGATCCTGAAGAAGCGTTTATGCAGATCACTAAGGAAAGCCTTCTTTGCGGCTGAGCTACAGATCAATTTCTACAGCCGACAAATGATCAATGGATGTGTGTGCCGCTTTGTGTTTATAAATTCACTTGCTCATGTGGAGCTAGTTATATTGGCCTCAAAAAGTGCACAGACGCATCTCTGAACATTTTCCGGCATGGTTAGCAAAAGGACAATGGAATACAGTTACTAGCTCAGTTCTCGAGCAATTGGTGAACTCAAGCCATGCAGCTGCACCAGATTAGTCTTTCAAGGTTATCTAAGAGGTGAGGCCAAATTGTATAAAGGGCGTCAGGTTTCGGCATTTGTCTGTGGCGGAGGCGTTGGAAATTCGTCAACAGGACCCCGAATTATGTATAAAGAAAAAGTTTGTCCAGTCTCTTATTCTACCTTGATCTTAACCTCTTCAGTAATTTTCAATTCTACTTTGAGTTTGCTTTTACTTTAATAATTAATTCACTATTATCACTCGCATATTTTCCTTTTGTACATTTTCACACCCTCTTCAGACTTGTTAGATTGACACTCAACTACCTTTCTTCTCACTCAGTAGCAATTTCAACCTTATCAAATTTCTAACCCTTGCTTCATTGTGCCGTTGAACTTCAATTTTTTACTCTTAAAGCCACTTTTGAATAATTATATCAATTATGTCACCTCCTATTTCTCAACAGTAGACTACTATGCATTTTCGGCAAATGTAATTACGACTGAACAGCCTCTGAAGATGATTTCGTCGTTAGAGAAATTTTTCTTCTCTGAATTTGTCTTTTATTTTTTTCAAGATATAACAGTCTTTGCAGTAACACTATGCTCGAAATTCACCATTCACTGTATAATTCCAATGCAGGTGAAAGAGAAGCCACTGAGTTTGGCCACTTCAATGTGCATTTATAAATTTCAATGTTCTTGTGGAGACAGTTACTTGGGTAGAACAACTCGTAAAGACCATCGTGGCCTACTTGAGCATTCTCCGGCATTAATAGGTCACTCAAGAGTTCCCTACTGGCACACCTTATAGATACAAAGCACAAAACTTTAATTTTCTAGGTTTGTACACCTTCGATTGCTTAGCATAGTCGAGGCGAGTGCCACAAAAATAAAGTTTTCAACCCAATCTTCATTTCGTTGAGAAAAATTCATTCAATCCCTCTTACCCGATGATGTTTAAATAGAAAATATGTCTGCCAGAATACATAAATGAAGTGTAATATATGTAGAGGAATCCATAATTGGCCATGACAATTAGCTCCAGTGCTTGACGTCTTTTCCCATGGTTCAGCTATTTTGAAACCATCGAATATCATAACACCGAAACCAAAACCTGATTTTTGGTAAAAAATAAAGGAGAACAAAAGCCAATTGAAAACCTGCATATATGGTTACATAATATGATATCTGCTATCACCCTGTTAATCGATAATATTTCAAAAGTTTATTGACTAAAATTAATTCCATCATAAACTGACATCGGTTAGAAAACCATTGGAAAACCATCCAGAGTGTACTGGACAGCTGTTTCGCCCCACTAGTTTTGGACTCTTCTCAGTACACACACCACCAGAGCCTAGGACCTTCCAGTTACAAAGTTAGCAACCTCTTAGACCACTGAGCCACTGGGACCCAATCTAATGGTCAGACCATGAATTCCAACTTCTGTAAAATTCATGACAAAGCACGACCACAGCCAATGTCATTACTGGTGAGTATTTGCCTTCTCACCAGTCGACCTTCTGCACCCTACTGGTCATGAGGTCCCACCAGAACTCAGGCAAATATCTACTTCAATAGGTCCAGTCATTAGTGAGTATCTATGTGTATTGAAGAAAAGTCGCAAACTAGGACGAAACAGCTTCAGAGAACTCCCTGGATGGTTTTCCAATTGTTCTATAACCCATGTCAGTTCATGATGAAATCCTGTAACCAATCAAATCCCTGCAAACCAACATTTGAATATCAGTTTGGTGCTCAATAATGACTGGCCCGGTTCAGGTAGGTATCCACTTGGGTTCTAGTGGGAAGTCGTAACCAGTGGGGTACAGAAGGTCGGCTGGTGTGAGGAAAAATACTCACCAACGATGAAATTCGGTAATGGTCGCGCCATATCATGAATTGGCGCAAGTTGGAATTCATAAACTGACCACTGGATCAGGTCTCAGTGGCTTGATGGTCTACGAGCTCGCTAGCCTTGTAACATGGAGGTTCTGGGTTCGAACTTCGGTGGGGCGGGTGCATACTACTGAAGAGTCTCAAACTAAACTGACGAAACAGTGGTCTGGTACTTCTTGGACGCTTTCCCAATAGTCCTCTAACTGATGTCAGCTCATGATGAAATCACGAAACAATTCAAATCCCTGCATACCAACACTCAAATACTACTTCAGTTTCTAAAGTTATATACATCTACATAAGTTAAGGAATAATTATCGACGTTTGCCCTAATTCCTATGCATTCCGAGTGAAACATTAGGCTTCAAGCTTGAGGCCTTGAATTTTTCGTAGCAGTGGTGATGATTTTATTCGTCCAGGTTGCTAGTCCCACGCCTTGAAAATCTTTCCTGTCTATTAGGTCAACTTACCGGTTAAGCGAGGTTTAGGAGTGTCACGGCTTAGAATCGAACCCCGAAACACGTGTGTGGTTGACCGTATTAATGATTTTTAAATAAGCTTGAATCATTAAGATCAAAAACCGAAGAATCATGCGTAAATAGGTTGTTACTAGACTACAGTTCAAAAAGAATATATATATACGCATAAATATATAGCTAAAAGGAGCATCTGATATCACAGTAAATGATCGTAAATAATAGTAAGTGTATTATATATACATAAATGCTAAACTCCTACAAGCCTATGCAAATCTAGTAGAGAGGAAGTATGATTTCTACAGACAGCTGCAAACAGTAATCAACAAGACCCGTTGTCAATGATTATGAACATTGAACGTTTGTTCAGTGGCCTTGGTCGCCATTGGCAGGCAACTTGAAGGCGCGAGTGATTCAGTCGTTTACAAGTTAGAAGAAGTCGAAAGAATACGAATAAAAATACAATACATTCATTGTAAAAACATTTGTTTGTAGACTTAGTACAGAATATTGATTTTAACCATCGAAGATTACAATTTCTTGTCATTCAGTGAGTTTTAGAATTAAAGTCGATATCTGTGCTTAGTGGTTGTCGATTTGGAGCGTCTTCGGAAATAATAGGAACTTAGGATTAATTTCCTTGACACTCATAGTTTGAATGTCAACCAAAATTAAAGCAGGTGGTACAGGAATAAAACTTAACACGGCTAAGCCCCTGGCAAAATAAGCAAGAAAGGAGATTTGTCCGCAGAATTCTGCGCTTTCAACGATTTAGTCTGTGAAGACAACGCATACAAGCTGAAGGATATATACAGCGAGGACGTACTAAAAGTGAGATAGATTTCATCTCAAACTCAAGAAAGTGCAGACGCAGTACGCTGGACATGAAATCCAGAAGAGGAGCAGATGCACGCTCAGACTAGGTAAAATCTAGTGCATAGAACCTTCAAAGTCAAGTTGAAAGTCTTCAAAGAAGCTGACATCAGACCATAATTGAAGTTCATCACTCGGCAGCTGAAGGATGAAACTAAAAAAAAACAACATTATTGCAGCCATCAGAAAAAAGTCGGAGATATTGAATAACATTACTGAGGAAACCTGCGTAGACATCTTAGTCAGAAAGGAAAAAGGAAGACAAGGAACGGTAAAGCAGAAGATGAACCAGTGAAAAAGGAGAACAACGGGAGAAGAAGAAGCAAACTACGGCCTACACAGCACTGCACAAAAGAGTGTAAAATAGCGCTGAGAAAGACAAAAGACAATTTTACGGCACACACCCGTCGCTGAAACAGAACAGGCTGCGGGTAATAGAGACAGTGGAATACTTTATCAAATCACCAGGTCACCACCACTCAGAAAAAGAACAACACAGGTGAAAACAAGGAAAAACAGTGAAGGAGGTCCTCTTACCAAAAAGCTGAAGCCAAGGAAATGCTGGGCTGAAAACTTCAAAGGACTCTTGAATCTACTATATCTAACTCGCTGAGAAATATCACTGGTGGACACAAAAAGACACCGCTGAACAGTTGCTTTCTGACAATTTCAGCAGTCTTGAATGCCAGAAAGTTTCTGAAAGTCAAAAAAAGCAACAGAAGCGTTCAAAATTCCCCAAGAAATCGATATGTTCACATCATTGCTGCAGAGGGTTTGGAAGTGAAGAATGGTACCTACCGACTGTAAGAATGGATACCTTCTCAAAGAAGATCAACTTAAGCGTACTGAATAAGTGACACTGAATCATCCCAGGCAAGACATTAGGCCTAATTATCCTGAAAAGACTAGAAGGATTCAGGAAAAGCAAACCATGTGTTGACCAAACGTGGCATCATCGCACAGAACTTAGAATGGTAGTCAAATGTCTACCTTAACTTCATTGACTTTGAAATGGCTTTCAACATCGTCCACCTTGAAGAAGTATATCATCTGCCTCAACACCACGGAGTGCTATTAGATGGTTGGAGGCAATCGGCCACAGGAAGCCTTGCCTGACCTAGGTTTCGTGCTAGTTGGCACTCACCAGTCAGCAAGGCGTATCTGCGACCTTGAAGGAACTCATGTCCCTTCTGAGATTCGAACCCGCGTCACCCAGTGCTGCAGTCAGAGACGTTACCACTGAGCTATTTGGGCTCGCGATTGACCTCCTGTAGGACTGTAGTGGATATTTTTTGATTGGGTACTAGTAACTAGTGTGATATGTCTTGTCCTTTCTTTGGTGCAGAATGAGTTCTATCAGTCAGGTTCCTTCAAGGTTGCAGACGCGCCTTGCTGACGGGAGCCAGCTAGCACGAAACCTAGGTCCTGGTTAGGCTTCCTGTCGATTGCCGCCAACGACCTAATATCATCACAAACAATGTACACCGTGATGGCGAGCTACCTAGAATGGTGGCCACATTAAAACCTGACTGATAGAATTCAGTCTGCACCAAAGAGAGGACTAGACGCATCACACTAGTTACTAGTGTTCAATCAAAAAATATCCACTACAGTCCTACAGGAGGTCAATCGCGAGCCCGAATAACTCAGTGGTAACGTCTCTGACTGCAGCAGTGGGTGACGCGGGTTCGAATATCAGAAGGGACATGAGTTCCTTCAAGGTTGCAGACACGCTTAGCTGACTGGTGAGTGCCAACTAGCACGAAACATAGGTCAGCAAGGCCTCCTGCCTTTTGCCTCCAACCATCTAACATTATGTATCAACCTCATCCAGTAGCTGTATGACCGCGTCGGTAGCATAGCGGTTAGGATGCTCACCGACCATGCACTTGGTCCGGGCTCGACCCCCGGCCGACGCACTCCTTTACCCCGCTAAGCCAGAAATAATGCTGGTGAAGAGGAAAGGTTGGGCATGAGGCCAGCAACCCCATCCTGTAAAATAAACACTGCTATAGAAACTTCAAGCCACTAGCTTGAAGCTCTATGTTCCAGTGGGAAACATGAAGGAAAAAAAAGTAGCTGTGGGGAGATGCCAGCAAGCCAGTTAACATCCCATTGACCAATAGATATGCAGAAGATAGTTGAGATGGATTAGAAATACTCCGAGAAGATAGTCATGTGACACGGAGAAGATCACGAGAAAAACAAACGAATCAGACGACAGAGGAGCGAGAGAAGTAGAGATGTATTGTTGAAGCCTTATATTTCCTTCAGAACACAAGATACAAGCAATAATAATGATAAATAATTACTATCTTACATCTTAAAGAGTTACGAGTTATACTCCGTACTGCTAAAAGAGACTTACCAACAGCTCCCAGACGTAAATACAAATTCACACCTTCAGTATCTCGTGAAAAGTAACATTCACGTCTTGATCCGCTTGGTTTATCACCGAAAAGAATAGCTAATGGATGAAATGACTGACGTTTTTTTCTCTCCGGACTTCGACCACAACAATTAGTCATTTTCTCTTTTGGTTTAGAAATTCTCTGTTCTTTTGATCTTTTTGCCAAGTAAGTGCAATTATTGATCTGATCAAGATGACTACTATTCTGTTTTACAGTATTATTATTATCATCAGAAGGACAGTTGTTTGAGGGGTTCTGTGAAATGAATACATCATTCGTTGATAGAACGGTGTTGTTCTCCTCAATGATGCTGTTATTCATGCCATCTCCAATGTTGTCATTATTATTATTATCATCATTATTATTATGGTTATCATTATTACTACTGCCAATTGTATTCCCATTAGTAGTACTGCCATTGTAGTCTTCACCGAAGAATTTCATTCTTCTAGCTGCTGTTCTCGACGCGATTTCTCCCATTTTTGGCAATCCGTTTGTCTCATCATCATGGCTGTTGCTGATACTGTTAGCCTTCTGTTTCTTCACCTCTTCAGAATCACCCTCATTATGATTACTGTTCGTAATCGAAGTATTTTTACCATTTCTCTTGTTAATGACAGGATTGGCAAATGTAACACTTAATGTCGGTGACTTTTGATCACTTTGTTCTGACTATAATTAATAATCAATAAAATTAAGAGCAGTTGGAAATGAAAGGGAACTTAATTTTTTTATGTATGCGACAGGATAATAGATACGAGTGGAGTGAAAACTATTACGAGTTACTAAGACTCAAATACTGGCTAAAATTTAATTTTACTTCATTATAATGAGGGTTTTTGTATTTCCCAATGAATGAAAAACAAAACAATATTGTTGTTTTTACTGACGTTTCGCTATTCAATGCTGCTGCTAATAGCCTTATCAAAGTATTATTTGAACCAGAATTTACAAAAACTCAGCTTATATATAACAAAGAGTTAAGAGGTGAGAAAATAGACTTCGGTCAAGTTAAAAGGCCGCCATATTGAAGGTCAAAATAACAATGAAGATCACTAAAGCAAATAACAGAGGTAATAGTACATCTGCTATGGTATAGATATAATAAAATGTCCGTTTTCCCTCCTCTTAACTAGGCAGTCTAGAAATGGTGGTCCACTGAAGTCCGATTCTGGTTCCAAAGTAAAATGGATGTTGGGAGATAGACTGTTCAGTTTCTCCAAGAATGAACTGTGTGGATCTCTTTTTAGCACTACAAAAGTATCATAAACATATCTTAAGATATTCTAGGAGTGAAAAGATGTTATTTTTGAATCTATTCATGAAAAGATCAGCGACGATTGGGGAAAATGGTGAACCCTTAGCAACACCATTTGTTTGTCTATAGAAATTCCCTGTAAACATAAAATAATTACTTTTCAGATTGAATTTTAAGCTCTTAATTATTTCATTGGTGTCCAGTGGACATCTTTGTGATAGCGTTGTATCTGATTCTAGTAGACTGGAAATGATATCAAGACTTTTGGTAATAGGGATACCAGTATAACATGAGTTCATATTTTAGCTTACCATATTGTCTTCTTCATCAACTTCTTGGTGTTCTGTTCCGGATTCAAAATGATGTGAACCTTTTGCAACATTCTGAGTGTCCTTTTGTAGTGGTTGTAGCATCAAAAATAAGTATTTGGAGAGGTTGTAAGTCGGTTAGTTGGTAAAATCTACTACTAGTGTTAATGGGACTGTGGATTTATGTATCGTTGTTTGACCGTAGAATCTTGAGGGTGTATAAAATTTTGGTTTCAGTTTTACAAGAGAGAATTTCCAATTTTCGGTTTTAGTTCTGGAAAGAGTCTGTTAGTTTTTAGTTTCATTTTGTTGAATTCAACAGATTTCTTCTTTTCTTCAATAAGTATGTATAGTCTATCGGATATGCTTTCAATCGCTTTCTTTTCATAATTGTAATTTTATACACTTATCAAGTCCAACAATCTACACCTGGTTTTGTTATGTTTACACCAACTGGTCAACTTGACAACGCAAAAATGACCCCATGCTGATGAACGATGATTGAGTTGTTATATACAAGCTGAGATTTTGTAAATTCTTGTTTAATAATACTACTTCGATAAAGCTATTGGTAGCAGCATTAAGTGGTGAAACGTCAGTGAAAACAACAATATCGTTTTTGTTATTCATTGATTGATAAATTTGAAAACTTTTATAATAATGAGTGTCATATATCGAATGACAAAATTTTTTCAAACTGCTAAATGTGATCTTAGTTTAGACACAAGAATTTAGCTAACTTAAGAATGGAAACATTTATTTCCCGATACGAATTTAAAACAAGCAATAAAGGTTAATAAAGCAGGATTTAATGAATTCATCAAATTTCGGTAGAACTCGTCAGCTGAATACTCTACATACACGGAAATATACTTTTGAAATTACATTGGGAGATATAGGATTGATAAGTAAATAAACTACATTGAATTAGTCATGCAGAAAGACAGGTGCGAATGTTTTTCCAGGTCATGTTCAATTAAATAAGTATTCAGCTGACGAGTTCTACCGAAATTTGATGAGTTCATTAAATCCTGCTTTATTAACCTTTATTGCTTGTTTTAACTTAAGAATGGTTGACCCCAAGAAGATAAGTAATTTAGAAAAAAGCTCATCGATTGCACTGCATCCATTTACACACAACCACACAGTAGGTCGTGTGGGACTGAGTCAAAATTCTAAGAAGTAATATAGGTAGGTGAAGATGGAGAGAAATTGATTACTGAATCCTGCCTGGTTCATTGAGTCCTCATGTAACACATGCAATAGAAGTGACTCGATGCAAATACCAGAGATGTGTGTGGAAGATATTATTACCACCAGTCAAATCATAGGATAATAAATAATGTTAAAGTGTATTCAATTCAATTCACATTATAACATTCTAACAAGTTATTCATTTATTTTACTATAAAAACATCTGATTTCCCATCCTATTGTACTTAACTGATAACACTAATATTATTATTTCCTAATGTACTTTCCCATCTTATATTCATTTTATCCAAGTGTCTAAGCATCAATTTTTGCTCACTGTATATAAATGAAGCAAGAAATTTGTGTGAGCGAGTAGTGCCTTGATATGATCATGAGCAGTAGCAACAAATTGTACTCGAAACGTGGTCATCATTAGTAAATATTACTGTATAAAACTACACTGTGTGAGACTTAATCAAAATCAAATTTTACCCATAATGGTGTTATGGGTGGTATCCAACTACTTGTATGTATCAGTTAGTAGTGTAAAGATCATGCATTAATTTTTTGATTGGCTTTGAATTGATAATAGGCTGTTGAAATCATTCAAAGGTGAATCCAGTACATAGAGCAATGGATACAGCTTAGTACTGAATCCTATTTAACAATGAAAACTACTAGCTAACCAGTCTTTAAATTATGCTTCTTACCTTATTCATCTTCAACATATTATTGTATGATTTAAATCTTTCCTCGTTTTCCTTTGAACTGATACTACTCTCTTCCTGAACAGTTTGATCCTCCGAGTCTAATAAGAAATGTTTAAAAGGAGAGAAAAAGTTTCAAGCAAATAAGTGCATGTCATTTCTTTAACACATTTGAATAAAGTAGTAAAAACAACTATAAGGTTTTCCTCTGCATCTATTATTACTATTAATATTGGGTTCCAAGTGGAACATAGGGCTTCGACAACACATCTCTACAGTTGGCTAGCTCCATGGCTGCCCATAATCTCTTATCCCATCCTCCAAATCTCACGATCCTTTCCATGTCACCCTTGCACTGATAAACCACTCGTCGTTTCCGCTTGGGATTCCAGTCGAGCGATGGCCTGCATTGATCGCGGTGTCATTCAATGGCCTCTTTAAAATGTGCCTGTTCCATCTCCATTTTTTTTTCTGCATAAATATTGAGCAATTAGCTTTCGGTTAGCTTGTTTCACGAATGTCGTGATGGGTTGTTTTCGTATATTTTAACACCCTCCAGGCTACTTGTATTGGTACTGATTATTTCTTTGATCTGAAGTTTAACTTTTTGTGTATGAGATTTTCCTCTGTGTCAACCAAAAGACTTAACAGCGAAAGAAGATAAAACCAACATCATCTACAGAATAAGTTGTGAAAAACATTACATTGGCCTTACTGGACGTCCGCCTCTTCGTCTTCGAATCCACAAACATAAACTAGGCGTCAAAAGACATTACATCCACTCACTCACTCATATCGTTTGCAGACAACCACATACATCAATTTAACTGGGAAAGCGTTCAAATACCATATAGGTGAAACACCAAAAATGCTAGGGAATTTTTAGAAGCCACCTGGCACTCCAGTGAACCGTGAATTAATAGACACATAGATGTAGACAGCATTTGCCAATCCATAAGCAGGAAATCTCATACACAAAGGGGCAAACTACAGTTGAAGGAAACAATCAGTTCCAATACAAGTAGCCTAGAGGGTGTGGAAACACACAAAAACAACCCATCACTACGTTCAAGGTCGCACAGCAGTAGAGATGACTTATGAACTCGTGAAGAAATCTAGAAGCTCACTTCAAACTGAAGTGCTTGCGCTGGAGATGTTGCAAAGTAGGGCCATGAACGCTTCTCAGATAAACTATCCAGCTAACTCAGAGAACACAACTACATCAAAATCATCCACATGGGCTACAAAAATATTCTCCGTTATATCAAAACAGTCTCTCTTCCCATTAATTAGTTTAGAAGAAAAGCAATAATGAAGATACCCCGACCCCAATCCTTTCCCTAACCCTAAACCTCATACTTACCTGAATCCTGACCCTAACGTGCTATCAACCCATTGTCCAAACAGTACCTTAAAACCAGATCAAGATGAAATATGCACATCAGTTCGCACACAGCGTCCATAATGGCTCTGTAATAACATCAGGTTCTGTCACCCAATAAATAATATACATTCAAGGACATTGGTGCATCTGCACTCCGTGGTCACCATTCTTTAGTTTGACCGTATTTTGATCACACAGTTGACTATTCTTACTTTCTGTATAGTTAGTTTGTACCTCATCGCCATTTTCAGGTTGATTTCAGTTGATGAAAACACTATATGAAATAGTAGACTGAATCCATCTTATCTAACTGCAAAAGTTGTTCTGTATCACCTTAGTCAAAATAATTACAGTAGTTGGAAATTAGAAAAACACTTCTCAAAATAAAAGTCCTTTTTAAAACTTAAAAATAATCTAATTCATTAGTCTCAAGTCAGTATACTCTTTTGATTTTCAAAGATTCAAGCATACTTTCGAATTATTATTTTTGTTTCTTGAGTACCTTACTTGAAATTCTTTAAATAAACTACACTTGAAAAGAGGGAATTTATTTTGTTCTATCAATAGACCAATTATCTACAACCTAATACATTGAACTTAACCACTTGAATTAGAAGATGCATAGATAGGTATGCAAATAAACTTGACTTTAAAGAAGGATTGTTTGTAAACAGACAACAAACATAACACTGGCTTATACACACACTTAACTATGATGAAAAGTTTCGAGTAAATAAGACAAAAATAGAAGTCCAAGTTACAGGATTTTCATCATGAGCTGATATTAGTTAGAGAACCATTGGAAAACCAGCTGGGAGTACTGGATAGCTGTTTCGTCCCACTAGTTTGGGACTATTCAGCAGCATGCACCCACCGGGATTCGAACCCAGGACCTTCTGGTTTACAAGGCGAGCTCACTAGCGACATGCCCTATTCAGCTAGGTAGTAGTTACCTGGGGTTCTAGTGAGAAGTCGTGACCAGTAGGGTGCAGCAGGTCAGGTGTGAGGACAAATACTCGCCAAAGACATTGGCTAGGGGTCGCGCTATGTCGTGAATTGGCAGAAGTTAGATATCATGGGTTGGCCATTGGATTGGTTCCCAGTGGCCTAATGGTGTATGAGCAAGCTCGCCTTGTAACCAGAAGGTCCTGGTTTCGAGTCCCGGTGGGTGCGTACTAATGAAGAGTCCCAAACTAGTGGGACGAAACAGCTGTCCAGTACTCCCAGTTGGTTTTCCAATGGTTCTCTAACTGATGTCAGCTCATGATGAAATCCTGTAACCAATCAAATCCCTACAAACCAACACTTGAAGAAGTCCAAGTTATTTTATACATTCAACTAACTGTCTTGATGTTAACTAGTGCTTACATGCTGTACAATGTCCTACATCATAAACGACAAAAGCCACACTAAGATCGCATGCTTTTTGTAAAAATGTATTTTGTCTATGAATATGAGGAATCTATAACCTCTGAAACCGTTTCAGAGTGAAATCGTAAGGCGATGCGATAAGCGTGTTCCTATTGCCCCCCCCCCCGCGGTAGTATAGAATGAAATGGCCTATAATCAATAACATGTGAGTATTTAGCATGTATATATGTTGTGAGCAATAAGTATTATTATTATCGGGTTTTTCAATACATACGTCAAGTCAGTCAGTTCTTCTATACGGATCAGAAACTTGGCGGGTCACCAAGAATATTTCCAACAGCCTGTTGTAGACCTTTATCAACAACTGTCTTCGCTCTATACTCAAGATCAGATGGCCACCGGAAAGAATCACCAACAAGAAACTATGGGAACAAACAAAACAATAACCAATCGCCCAACAACAAATATGCAGGAGAAAGTGGAGATGGATTGGACACTCGCTGAGGAGGCCGCTGGGTGACATCGCGCGTCAGGCCCTCGAGTAGAAACCCGAAAGGGAAGCGGCGAGTGGGACGTCTAAGGGTGACATGGAGGAGATCGTGTGAAGAGGAGCTGAAATAGTATGGACTAACATGGATGTAGGTGAAAAGTACATCAGTAGACAGAAGCAAGTGGAGACGTGCAGTTGAAGCCCTATGCTCCACTAGGAACCCAAGGGAACAATAATAATAATATAATAATTATCTCATGTTCGTAACTGTTTCTAAACACAAAATTATGTATCTTCCTATTTTGCGTCAAAACAGAACTCGAATGGGTAGTCAGTAATCCTGCTGGTGCATTCTGAATTTGTAAAACTAACTGCCCTGAATTTCACCTGCTTCAGAATCCTGGGTATACTGACAATAAATCCAACCCCTGTCCATTCATGTTTTCTAAATTGTATCACTTCTTGAAGAAATCGAAAATGAAATATTTCCATGACTCTGTTTATTAAACATGCAACTTACTGATAAATTACGGATGTCAGCTGAAGATGAAATCATCCAACCAATCAAACAAAATCCATACAAAAACCAATACTTGAAAATTCATCTGATGCTCACTAGCGACTGGCCTTATTCAGACAGTTAACCTGGGGTTCTAGTGGGAAGCCGTGACCAGTAGGGTGCAGCAGGTTGAAGGTGAGGTAGTAACTCATCGAAGAAGACATTGCGAAGTGGTCGCACTATATCGTGAATTGGTAGAAGTTAGAATTCAAGGGCTAGTCATTGGATTGGGTCTCAGTGGCTGATGAATGGTCTACGAGCTCGTTAGCCATGTGACCAGAAGTTCCTGTGTTCGAATCCTGGTGATGGGTGCGTGCTGGTGAAGAGTTCCAAACTACGCTGACGAAAAAGTTGGCTGTCCAGTACTCCCAGGTGGTTTTCCAATGGTTGTCTAACTGATGTCAGCTCAAAATGAAATCATCCAACCAATTTACGGATTAAGCAGGAATAGGGCTTGAATCTCAGTAGGAAAATTGAAAAGCTCGACTCATTGACAACCCTAATTAAGCCGTCTGGCGCGTTCTTTTCAAGCCTCAAGAGATAAAGAAGATAAAATTCAAGGTTTGTCACGAAAAGCTTTGAGTTCTTTATGATGCTTAATGGAATTATATGACCCGATAAGAATAAAAATAATTTAGGGTTATTGGTGTCAAGACACTTCAAAAGTATGACGAGTAATCAAATTGTAACTAGGGCGGGTGAGGATTGGTAAGAGGGTAGTAGTGATGTGTTGTCAAAACAACATAGTTATTAATGTCAATCATCACATTTTTAAAAATTCCTTTACGTTCCCAGTGGAACATAGGGGGCTTCAGGGTAGAGGGTTGACGATTCTGTAGCAGGGGTGTTTATTTTTACTGGATGAGGCTGCTAGCCTCATGCCCAACCTTCCCTCTTCACCAGTCTTATCATTGGCTTAGCGAGGTCAGGCAGTGAGTCGGGCTGAGAAGCGAACACCGAACCACATGCGTGGTTGACGACAATTCTACCTCTGTGCCACCGACATGCATAAAAGAAGGTAAATAAACGTAATACATTTACGCAATAAGATGAATAGTTTGATGAGTCAGTTGTGATTAGGATGCACATAGAAACGAAGGGAAATATGGGATTGTGTAAGATTCCTAAAAAATTACAAATGTTATAAGGAGCGCACAAACATCAAGTCAGTAGAAATCAACACGGTTGTTACCATGATAGTATAAGTGGTTGGATGATTTTCTTTTGAATACATGACTCTGGTTTTTCCGACTGAATGATTAAGGCTTCCGCAGTACAAAGGAGACGGAAGCGTATT